ATATATATATATAAAGAAAGAAGGAAAGAAGCTTATGATTTTTCAAAAAAAAAATGAGGGAGTATACCAAAAGCTGATGATTTAAAAAAAGGCTGAAGAATTGCTTAATCTTTCAAAAGCAGATGGAAAAGAAATTAATTTGAAATTGTTTGGAGAAATTTGGGTTTCTTTAGCCTCTATTTATACTACTCGATTAGCTAATAAATGAGTTATCATATTTAATCTCTGTATCACGTTTTAGGTATGTTACCTTTTATTTTATATATAAAGCCAAATAGCGCAATAGTGTTGAAAATGATTTCAAGGTAAATAATTCAATGTATTGTTACCTAGCTAGAGCTTTGATCTTTATCTGTTTGTTCATCTGGTGGCGCAATGGATGAGGTTATTCTTTTCTTAATTAGAAATTTTAAATTCGAGTCTTGGATATGAAAAAATTCATAATAGAATGGGCCTTATTCGGAACGAGTCCAAAATATTCAGACTCTAATATACGTATTAGAAATTGAATGAGAATTAAAATAAAGTCTAATTAGTATAAGTGAATTTAACATGTTTTGAAGAAAATATATGTCAGGTTTGAAAAAACATAATCATTTTTTAAGAAAATCCTACTCAAATTTTATAATAAAGTAAAGTTTAATTCAATTAACTACCTTAATTATGTCAAGTCCCACCGATCAGAGGAGTTAAGATTAGGAGTTTGGGGATTCTAAAACAATTTATTCGGTTAAAAGTCTCTCTCTCTATATATATATATATCTAATTAATTTTTAATATAAATACAAAATCTATGAAAAGTTAATAGATTCGTCTAAACCTATAAACCCTACCTAACTATGCTTCTGCCACCTCCAATAAAACTATATATTGATAAAAGTATACATAAAAAAGTGGTAGTCAATTTAAATATGTATTATAAGGCAATACAGTGCCATCTTTGTCAAATTATCGACATGTAACGTTTATCACAAAAAAATGAATTTCTTTGACCGATTTGTTTTATTTGAATTATCTTGTTCAATTCAATGAAATCAATTATTGGAAGGTTTCGTGTGTATCCTACCACGATGTAAAATAATCTTTCGAATTATAAATATAAAATTTATAAAATTCAATTTTTCAAATTATAAATATATAATTTAAATATTAGTTTGAAACTTTGAATATAAATTTGAAATTTTATATTTCTAATTTAATATTTGAACTTTAAAAGTTTGAAAATTTAAATTTTAAATTTTAAAAGTTTGAAAATTTAAATTCAAACTTTAAAAGTTTAAAATTTCAAAATTGAAACTTTGAGGTTGTAAAAGTTTAAATTTCAAAATTTAAAAACTATAAAATTTTAAATTTCACATTAATAAAAATTAAATTTAATACAATAATAAAAAAAATTAAGACGAATGGCCTAGACTTTTATTAATATTAATTTGATAGTACAGTTTGATCTACAAAAATATTAGTAGAGTATTAAAAGATATAATATATACAACCACTTTCTTGGAAGGCTCCGTTTGAATTAGTTATCGAATTATCATACTCACACTTATAGACAATTAAACATTTAAATTTAATAGTCGATGCTACTATATAGATCTTTACTTAAATCATTTAACATTTCTCTAGTAACATGATCGGGAATTGGTTGAATAGATAAATTCTCCATTGCCTCAATGTCGTCGTCACTATAATCTTGCATTATTTCATCAACGTCACTTTGAAATTTGATCGACAGTGGTTCACGACCTAAATTTCTTCTCTCGACATTAATCCAATCTCTAAATAATACCGATATCTCCAAACTATCTGCTGCTAGTAGTGAATGCTATGATATCCAATTTGAAACTTTGCTGCACTAAAAACATCTTTTGAAGCTACTGAAGATGCTTGAATAGCTAATACATTTCGAGCCATCGGTTGAAATTTTGGAAATTCTTTGCCGCGATTTCTTCACCATGCTAGAACATCGTCAGTAGGATGCATCAAAATCATTTCTATTATTGTGAGAAAGTTCAAGATAAGAAACTAAATAATCATCAATATTATCTTTATTAAGTCGACTCCTAGAACTTTCAAATTCTTGATCACTTGACACATTTATATTAGAATTATATACATCATACAATATTCTAGCTTCACTTTTTATACTATCTTTAATTTCTTGACAACTAGGTATTTCATTTTTTTCACTATCGATATCCAAGTTAAAATATATTTTATTAACCACTTTAGATGCACCTACATCTATGTAATAAGGGTTTATCAAACAAGCGGTTAAATAAATTAGAGGAATATAAATAAAATATTTTTTAAATTTTTCGATCATTTGTTAATAGTTTGTTCAAATCTTCATTTATTTTTAAATTTATAAAATTTAGAAGAAATCATTCAAATATCAGGTAAAACAATGTAAATGGATGGATAATAAAATGCAAATATTCTTTTAATAGTTAATAAAAAAACTCTTAGGAAATCTATAAGTTCATGCATGTCATGACAATCAATACCATCGAGTCTATATGACATATCTGAATTATGAGCATTCCAAATCATTTGTAAGGGTTTTTTTTATATTCATAAGCGACTACAAGTATTTCATCTAAGGAATTCCATCTAGTAGACACTGTTTTTGAAATTTTTTTAGGTGGAAAATTATATTCAAAACAACGATTTTGAAAATCTCTATGCCTAGACTTAACTTGACATTTAAATATAAAATGACATGCTTTCAACTTTCGTGCAACCGTTATTATATATCTGTATATCATCTCGAATAATCAAATTATATATGTGTGCAACACACCTAATATGATAATTATTCCCATACATAGAGCAAAGAGAAGGTTTTAGCATTTGAACAACAACTGTATTATTTGCAGCATTATCTAAGGTGATACTACTTATTTTATCACAAATTTCACAACTTTCTAAAATATCTAAAATTGTTTGAGCTATATAACGATCGATTTTTTGCATCTAACAACATTTATAACTTAAAATACTTTTTTGCATACTCCAATTTTTATCAATCCAATGTGCAGTAACAGTCAAATAATCATTACCATATACCATTACGGCTCATATCAGAAGTAATAGCTATTTTACAATTATTATAATAAAATAAGCAACGAAGATATAGGAAATATTGTGCTTGATAATCAAATACAACCTATTTAATTGTATTTCTAGCAACCCTTAAAATGTGGATTATACACAATTTGAATATTATGTATAAATTGGGGATTTTCAGCAAAACTTAATGACAAAAACATAACAACAATCATTTTAGCTAATTATTCAAGATCTTTTTCTCTACTATATGACCGTGGTAAACTAGAGCTAGAGCCAGAAACATTAGAAGGATTTAATTGTGTTTGGACCATGTTAGAGTCGCCTACTCCTACAGTTTCAGGTTATGGGATATCATTCTTTTTAGCTTCGGCTACCGCTTTAGCATACAAAAATTTATTTTTACAACATGATATTAAATGATTACTCAAATGTCCCATCCCACCTTGTTTTCCAACAGTTTTATGATTTGATTTATGTTTACATTTTTACAAATAACTTGTGTTTTATCTTCATTTTGTGTCATAAATTGCCACACAACTGATTTTTTAGCACGTTCTACGTTAGGCGTAGGATGTACAGAAGAAACAGGAGCAGAGTAACGAAAGGAAGCGGGACTAGGAGCGGGGTTGGGATAGGGACTAAGAGTACTAGTAGCCGTAGGTGGCTCAGTTTCACTATCATCATCAAAAGTTAGCGTTTCGTTATAATCATCAACATTATAACGAAAGTTCAGTTCTTCTTTTCAACATTTTTCAAGTAAGATTTTGTATGTTTTAATTGAATTTTTTTTTTATCATTTATTTTTTCATTTGACGGAGAATTATAAAATGACTAATTCATTCCTCTAGAAAAGAAGACTTACTAATTTTATATGTCACTCACATGATACGTATCACATATTGTCAGAATATTATAGATATTTAAATTTTTATATATTAAGGCATTTTTTAAATTTTTGTTTTTTGGTAAAAGCAAATTTTACTTGCGAAAGAAATTCCTCATTGCTGAGCTAAGAGGAATTTCATTACAATTTCTCTTCGATCTTTTATCCCATCTCCACAGTTGGTTTTTTCTTTTTTCATTTGATCCATCACTATCTTATTTCACTCCACGGCCATTTCACGTTACGTATATGTATTTGAGACATACGTGTGACAGAGTCTTATATATATAAAGAGAGCGTTTAAGTCATTTGCGGCCTCTTAAAATTACCTGCATATTTTACTTAGACATCCTAACTAGGGGGTTGTACCTATTGAACACTTCTACCCTTCAAAACATATACTTATTAAACACTTTTGATGATATGACATTATAAGTGTAATATAGATCTATAAAAACGCGTGAAGCCAAAAAATACTTTTTACAAACCAATCAAAAATGAACACGTCGAAATCAGAAAATTATAATATGAACATAAGTTTTTTTTTAAAAAAATTGCAGGTAGTAGTCTTCCCCAGTTGAACAGTTCAATTCAATATTACTTAGAGACCTCATCATTCCTTACCTCACTATTTCTTTGACACACACCTTTCCCGAATAATCCATCCTTCATACTTTCTTTATAGCATCATTTCGCCACCATTAATATCATTGTTATTGTTATCTTCATCGGAACAATATTAATTAAATAAATAATCAGTTTAAACACAAAAATTTGAGAATTTACTGATAAAGATTTTTATTTTTAAATTATGGAATATAATTTCATCAAAAATAAAAATCAAATTGAGTTAAAAGAAATCCGGCAAAACTTCATTTTTTCGACAAGATTATTATGAATCTGAAATTAGTTTTTTGAAAACGTTAAAAAATTCAAATCCTACACAATATAGAAGAATAAAAGAGTACCAACAAATCTGAATTGATATTTTTTTTAAAAAAAGTGAGATTGAAAAAATGACCACTACAAAGTTTGAATCAAATAAAGAAAATGGATAGGAGTGTGAATGGAAAAAAATTCTTATATATTAAAAATTGGAAGGAAAAAAGGTGGAGTGAGAAAAGGGTGAAGAAGATGTTTTTCTTTTCTTTTCTTCTTCTTTTTTTTTTTAATGAAA